TCATCATCATTGTCATCATCATCGTCGTCATCATCATCATCATCACCATCATCATCATCATCATCGTCATCATCGTCATCATCACCACCATAACCATCATTTTCATCATTTTCATCATCATCATCATCATCACCATCATCATCGTCATCATCATCATCATCATCACCATCATCATCGCCATCATCATCGTCAGTCCATCGTCATCGTCGTCGTCAGTATCATCATCATGATCATGATGATGATCATCATCATCATCATCATTGTCATCGTCATCATCATCATCATCATCATCATCATCAGCTTCGTCACAATCATCATCGTCATCAACACAATCACCACCACCATCATCACCTTCTTCTTCTTCTTCATCAATACAATCATTATCACCATCGTCGTCGTCATCTCCATCATCGCCATCTGCAGCATACAGGTTTGTCATTTTGTTGCTACACGCCGCTGCTACTGTAATGTCTGGCATCGTCATTTCGCCTTGCTATCGTTCTCAAAATGTTGCAATTTTTGAGAATGACCATGCGAGCTCCACTTCGCTCACATCTCCAAACCCAACCCGTAAACCCTAGACCCCTGAGCCCTAAACCCTAAACCCTAAACCCTCTAGACCCCTGAGCCCTAAGCCATGATCTCTGCCAGGCTGGCGAGGTGTTGTCCACGGAGCACTCGTCGCTGCCGAGGCTGCAGCTACCCAGGTTTTAGGTTTGCGGCCTTGGGGTCTGTAGCATGTAGGCGTTTAATGTTCGTTTTAGGGCTGAGGGTTTGAGTCCGACTTCTCCTCCTACTCCCTCCTCCTATATGCTGCTACTAGTAGTAGTAGTAGTAGTAGTCGTCGTCGTCGTCGTCGTCGTAGTGGTAGTAGCACTGCTACTACTGCTACTACTACTACTACTACTACTACTTCTCCTAGTCCTAGTCCTAGTCCTAGTCCTAGTCCTAGTCCTAGTCCTAGTCCTAGTCCTAGTCCTAGTCCTAGTCCTAGTCCTAGTCCTAGTCCTAGTCCTAGTCCTAGTCCTACTCCT